CCCCGGGGGTGGGGGAGGGAGACTTTGTCTCATGAAGGATCAGACCGCATGGAGAAGCTCTGTGCCCATTTAGACTGAGGATAATGTGGAGGGAGTATAATAAAACTTTCGGGTGGAGGATCCTGTTGGGCAGAAAAGCCTGGGTCCCCCAGGGGGCTAAACACACTCACAGGCAGGGCTCTCTGAGCTTGGAAATGGAGTCAGCTCAAGGCATGTGCCAAGCAGAGCCAGTGAAATGCTGTGATTTCTGGGGTGGTGTAGGCTCAACACCCCCCACCACCCTCCCATGTGTATCTGGCCCTCAATGACATACGTAAGCCTTTTAACAGGGACAAAGCCTTTAATTTCTACCAATAGAAGTAGGACTTGAAAAAATGTTTTAATTTTTTAACTTTTTATTTATTTTTGAGGGGGAAGGGAGGGGCAGAGAGAGAGGGAGACACGGAATCCAAAGCAGGCTCCAGGCTCTAAGCTGTCAGCACAGAGCCCAGCGTGGGGTTTGAACTCACAAACTGTGAGATCATGACCTGAGCTGAAGTTGGATGCATAACCGACTGAGCCACCCAGGCGCCCCCAGGACTTGAAGTTTCAATGACAAATGTTTGTTTGCAGAGCCCAGGGTTTGCTGTGAGAGAAGAAGGTAAAGGAAGGTGGTGAGCTAACTCTGGACTCTTAAAATAGGCCAGAGTCCTGAAGGGGGGTGGGGAGAGAGTGACCCCCGACCTCGAAGAGAAAAGTTGCCATTTGTCAAATACCCGGGAAAACCCCTCTCTTAGAAAACAAATGGGTCACTGACACCAAGATCCAAAAAAGCTAGCATTTCTTTCTTGCAGGTGATATGTAGACAGCTATTTTCTATTACTCTCTGTACTTTTTTATTTCAAAGAATTTTTTATTGCTTAAAAAAAAAGGACACCTCTGAAAATAGAAGTTGAAAGATTAAAGTTTCCAGTAATGCAATGACATACTGGGTAGCTGTTACCAAAAATACATATATATATTTTTTAATTGAGGATGATCTCTGTGTGCTCCCACGGAAAGGACTCTAAGTAACGTAGCGTGAATAAGCAAGTTTCAGAAGACCTACGTGACGGGTCCTACCAATGTGAAATGCTTTGCATGTGTGTGTGTGCTTTGTTATACGTACAGAACTAAACCTAGAAGAGGCAGGCGATCACGAGCAGGAAGTAGAATGAATGTGTACATGTGAATGTGGCTCGTAAGTATCCATTACATTTACAATCATAGGAAGGCAATCATGATTTTGTCCACAAGCCTTGCAGCTGGGGATGGTCCCCAAGTCCTTCCAGGTTTTTGGAGTACCCGGGGGCAGGGGGGGGAGATGGGGGTGGGGTCAGCAACTGGAATTTCCAGCCACCCTGTCCTTGTCCTGCTCTTTCCTGATTTGCCACTTGGATGTCTGAGTGAGGGTCCGTGACAGGTGCCGGCGGTGGGGGGTGATGACAAGTCCCAAACCACACGTGTTCCATTTCATGTACCTCCTTGCCGCCTTTGCAATCTCCGCCGTGAAAGCTCTCCTCTCTTATCTGCACAAAGCAGGAGTCAAAAGTTCTCGTCCGTGTGATTGCAGAATACCGGGCTGGGAAACTTCCTGATAATACCGAAATGATTCCTTCAGAAGAGCCGCGCCTGGGATGGGCTCCAAAGCACTATGTGGCCTGAGCACGTTCTGTGCCGTGCAGCTGGATGATGAACCGGATGCAATTCGGCAATTTAAGAAAAAAAAAGGGTTGGGGGGGGGGAATGTATAAAGATGTCATCATATCCCACCTGGCTTGGTAGCCCCTCTCCCCATGCTTATGAGCCTGATCCCCTCCAAAGACCACGCAGACGGCCAAGGAAGTGACGGGTCCACAATAGACACGGAGCTAGGAGGTAGACAAAGAAAACCCAAAGAAAGAAAGAGAGACGGAGAGAGACAGAGAAAGAAGGAAGGAAGGAAGGAAGGAAGGAAGGAAGGAAGGAAGGAAGGAAGGAAAGAAAGAAAGAAAGAAAGAAAGAAAGAAAGAAAGAAAGAAAGAAAAGGAAATAAAGAAAGAAAAGGAAAGAAAAAAGGAAAGAAAGAAAGAAAAGAAAGAAAAGGAAAGAAAGAAAAAAGGAAAGAAAGAAAGAAAAGAAAGAAAAGAAAAGGAAAGAAAGAAAGAAAGGGAAAGAAAAGGAAAGAAAGAAAAGGAAAGAAAGGAAAGAAAGGAAAGAAAGAAAGAAAAGGAAAGAAAGAAAGAAAGAAAGAGAAAGAAAGAAAGAAAAGGAAAGAAAGAAAGAAAGAAAAGGAAAGAAAGAAAGAAAAGGAAAGAAAGAAAGAAAAGGAAAGAAAGAAAGAAAAGGAAAGAAAGAAAGAAAAGGAAAGAAAGAAAAGGAAAGAAAGAAAGAAAAGGAAAGAAAGAAAAGGAAAGAAAGAAAGAAAAGGAAAGAAAAAGAAAAGGAAAGAAAGAAAGAAAAGAAAGAAAGAAAAGGAAAGAAAGAAGGAAAGAAAGAAAGAGAAAGAAAGAAAGAAAAGGAAAGAAAGAAAGAAAAGAAAGAAAAGGAAAGAAAGAAAGAAAAAAGAAAAGGAAAGAAAGAAAGAAAGGGAAAGAAAGAAGGAAAGAAAGAAAAAGAAAAGGAAAGAAAGGAAAGAAAGAAAGAAAGAAAAGGAAAGAAAGAAAGAGAAAGAAAGAAAGAAAGAAAGGGAAAGAAAAAAGGAAAGAAAGAAAGAAAAGAAAGAAAAGGAAAGAAAGAAAGAAAAGGAAAGAAAGAAAGGGAAAGAAAGAAAGAAAAGGAAAGAAAGAAGGAAAGAAAGAAAGAAAGAAAGAAAGAAAGAAAGAAAGAAAGAAAGAAAGAAAAAGAAAAAGAGACCCCACTGCAGTTTCTAAGACACATTTGTGGCTTTTATAAACGGGCAGCGCGTTCGTTGAAAGCGGCCTTATGCCACTGGTGACCTTAGCTAATGCTGACGTTCAGGAATTTAAACTTGGGAGCGGCCCCAGCATATCCTGTTCTAAAACCTGAGGGCCATGGGCATTCTCCCACACTGCGTTCTCCTTTGGCCTCATTCTGTATCCAGTGGTCTCTTTCTTTCCATCGTCTTCCCTGATTTCGTTTCAAAAAGCTATGGGTTTCACGTAGAAAACTGCATGCAGGGCGCCTGGGTGGCCCAGCTGTCGAGCATCCGACTCTTGATTTCGGCTCAGGTCGTGATGCCAGGGCCATGGGATCGAGCCCTGTGTCAGGCTCCTCACTGAGCATGTACCCTGCTCTCTCTCTCGTGCGCGCGCACTCTTCTCTCTCTCTCTCTCTCTCTCTCCCTGTCCCTCCCCTGTGTGTGCTCTCTCACAAAAATAAATAAATAAAAACATTGTTTTAAATATGCATACGTCACACATCCTTCCCTCCAGACGCATCACATTTATAAATGCAGGTCCCCATTTGGAGTAAATGCATGAGAAACCACATCGTTGAAAAACCTGTCTTCACTCTTACCTTGAAATAGAAACAGAGCAAAGGAGATAGATTTGTGCCCCTGACAGGGACGACAAGTTGAAGTGTTTCCCGAAAGCCCTGTGGTCAGCGTCTCAGCCTCTGACCCCCTTCTTGGATTTTACCCCATCAGGTAACCAGGTGAGTCTCTCCAAATCTGCAGATGCCTTTGCCTTCGAGGAGGACAGCAGCAGTGATGGGCTTTCTCCAGACCAGACTCGAAGCGAAGACCCCCAGGGCTCAGCAGGATCCCCAGCGGACACCAAAGCTTCGGAGACCCCGTTAGCAGGTCCTGCTCTGGGGGCAGTCCAGGTAAATAAACCGCACCTCAGCCCGTCGTGTCTTTGTGGTCCTCAAGGCACACTGCCACCTTTGGTTTCGCATAGAGACCCCGGTACGTCCCTGGATGGTGCTTCAGATGGGTGCCTCTTCTTACCCGATCCAGTCCGGGGATCGGTGTAGGGGGGGCAAAGCCTCCAGAAAACACCGAACGAGGAGCCTCTCGGGGCTGTACCCTTTGGCTTACTTGGCTACTCCGCCAAGTAGATGCCTACTATCTCCCAAACTTACACGCGAGGCTAAAAGAGGCTCTCTGCCATCAGGTGACTCACCAGTCATCTCCTGGATAGAATGTGCCAGTGCAGGCTTCTGGCTTCAAACCCCACGGACTTCCCTGAGTATATTCTCTGCATGGTCCGGGGGGAGGGGGGACCAGGAAGTGCTGACAGGCTGCAAAGCAGGGGGCCCCCGAGGTGCCTCTACGGTTAGCGGGTTTCTGCCTGCCACACCACTGCAGGGTCCGCGTCCAGCCCAGCCCAGCCCGAGAACAGCAGTCCCCGCCCCCCCCCCCCACTTTCTGGACCAATCCACAAACACTTGGGCCACGAGGCGTGTATATTGCAAATACTGTTCAAAAGCACATTTTCTAAGAAAAATAATTAACAGCGGCTAGCGCTAGGCACTTCCCAAGCGTTTCCTTTGAGATGCCCCACTGTCCTCCAGGCGGGTAGCATCCATGTGCCTTCTGATGGAGGGGGGACCCAGGCTCTGTGAGGCCGAGCCCCTGTGTGGTCTCCAGACGCTGCAGATTCCCAACCCCCCTGGAGCTTTTACTTCTAGAAGCCGCACAGAGGCTGGATGGGGGCTGCCGTCAGCCTAGCATGATGGTATTCACGCAGACCCAAAGAGGAGATGTGTGTGGACACACACAACACACACACACTGTTCCGGAACCCGTGTTACTCGCTGGTCATCATCATGCCCTCCTTCACGCGGTGAAGCAAGCAAAGCTGGCACCTGCCGAGGAGAAATGGTAGACAGATAAGAAGGAGAGCCGAAACACCCAGGCGTGTGTCCCACGTGGGTTTGTAAGCAACGCGCGTTCCCTTCCCCTGCGCGCGGCGGCCGGGCTTTGCCGCCCGGCTTCTCCAACAACAGCAGACAGCAGTTTGGATCGCTCGTGGCTGTGGTTCCGATGGTAAATTCCTCAGCTTCTGACTTAAGAACGGTTTGAGGAGAAGACGAGTTCTTTTCTGCTTCACCCAGTTCGAAGAGGACGAGCCCGGGGGGTGATGCCGGGCCGGGTGCAGAAATCACTCTGTGATCGTACCCAGCGGCCCCGCTGAGCAGAGAAGGACACTGAGGCTCCAGAGGAAAGGATTCTGCAGAGGTTTTTCGGGCTCCGGGGCTCAGGAAAGGATGGGGAGGCTGCAGGGGGAGGTCGTGAGCAGCACCCTGTCCCTTTCTGTCACAGCATCGGGTGGCAGGAGAGGGACAGAAGATGATTACTCTTTTTTCCAAGTTCTCAGCATCCTGGAACACGTCTCTTAGAAAGGTTGTTCGTGACACTACATGCACACCCCCCCGACACACACACATATATATACACACACCTACATATACACGTGTGCTCATAAGGAACTATACATAAACACACAGATACCATACACATATACACACACTTTCTTTACACACATACACATCAATGTACATAAACACATATACACACAGACATGCAGAGACATGCATACATATTTACACATACCCATACATATACGCATGCACATACCTATGCATGTATGCACACACACCTACACACGCATAGACATATATGGACAGACACACACGTATATACAGACCCACAAAAACACACACAGATAAACACACAAATGTGTACACACAGACATATGCACACATGCACACATACAAACGTATACCCAGAAACACACACACACACACGCACACACGTTTTCCCTCCCATCCGCTAACCCCCCTTTTATCATGTTTTGGGTCCTACTTTCCGCCGAAATGCCCACACCCACTTCTCCCTCCTCCTTTTTTCTTCAGTCCTGTTATCAAGTCCAACAGGTAGACCTTGTCACAGGTGGAACCCTCACAGGGTTGACCAGCCGTCTGAGTTTTGGGTTGGCCTAGAACAGGCCATTTCTATACCTGTTTTCTGGAAGAATTATTGACGATGACCCCCTTATCTCTCAACAGTGACCTCAGTTGGTTGACAAATCATATATATATAATCATGATATCGTGGCCACTCTACTTTATTTCTGTGTCCTACGTTTTTTCCTCCTGCATCCTAATATTGCTAAAATTTGGATTTCAGGATCATTCTTCTGGCTCGGAAAATGACAAGAATGACTCAGCCTCACAGCTCAGCAACCAGTCAGACGCGGGCAAGCAAGGGCTTGGGACCCTGGGCCCCTCCACTGCTGGGCACACTGCTGTGAAGGTAGGGACGGGCCAGCAGGGGGCAGAGCTCTCTGAGTTTAGTGTGGCAACGTGGGGGGAGTCACAGGGACCCCTGTGTAGGCTCGGTCCACCGGGAACATCGCGAGTCAGGAGAGGAGAAAGGGGCCCTCCGCGTGCATGGACCAAGAGTCGGTTTGCTGTGCAAACGCAGCACGGATCTTCCGTGTAGAGGAGAAACCTGTGAGCTGTGAGCTCGCGGTTGTTTGGGGTCACAGGTCAGCCAGCTTGGGCCTGACTTAAAAGACTTCATCAGGCCAGCCTCGAGACAGCCACAGCAGGTCGAAAGGCACACAGGGTTTATACATGCCATCAGACAGGTAGAGGGGAGTTGGGTTTTATGCAGGGGAAGCAGGTCTGAGGGCTTACAGAACGTAAGGCAAATATCACCTAAGCCAGTCTCCCTTTGGAAAGAAAGATAAAGGGCGGGGTCGCCTTCACAGTGGACTAATAACTATAAGCATTATAGCAGATTCTCGGTTAAATCTTCCCATTATAGCTAATGGTTCACAGAAGGCTCTCTCCTCTTTCCAATTAACTGCCTGCTAACGATCACTGGGTTTTGTCGCTAATCATAATTTATCCCAAATAGCTTCTCTAGGGTCACCACTTAATGAGAGCGGAGATGTCTCTTATGAAATATTTGTTAAAAGAGCATAAGAATCAGCGTTTAAAGTAACAGCCCCGGGTCCCTTCTACCGCATATACACAAAAGAGGTTCTCGTGTTCCAGGTGGACGGCAGGCATTTCCGCTTCCCTGTAAATCTCCCTAAACCTCGCTAGAAACCCACTCCCTACGTAGCTGAAATCTTACTGGCAGTTCACTCAGATCAACAGCCTTTGAAATTACAGGGCCGTTGATAGGTTTTGCTTGTTGCAGGTGGAGGAAGGAGGTGGTTCACATTATCTATACCATTGTGCACACGGAGAAATTTTATTACTATTTCTACCAGCGTAGTTAAGTGTTGCATAGGTCAGATTAGCACTGCCTTCAGCCTCACTGTACTAAGGAAATGTGACGGTTGCCCAGAGGGAGGACAGGTCGATTTCAGTGAAGAGCAGGATTGATGGGCAGCGGATCCAATGGGACTGGTTGTGTATGTGAGAGCCAACATCCCTGTTGGGTTGGTCAGGGCCTGTGAATTCTCAGTTGTTCGACATTCATTATCTCTACCTTAGGAAGATGCTAAAGGGCTTCTCAAAGAAGGAAGCAGGCAAGCTGGGGGGAAGACATCTGTGCCCTATTGGCTTTGTAAGGTCCATCGGAGGCCACTGAGAGAATGTACCAGAATTCCCTGAAAACTGTCCAGCCCTATGTAAGGGAAAGGTGTTCTCAATGCAGGCTCCTTGAAGATATATATCAGGGATGAATAAAATAGGATTCCTGTTCTCAAGAAGCCTGTAGTCTAATTGGGTCACAGCCACCACTAACCCATATAGTGTTTTGAGCAGGTAAGAAACATGTACCATAAGGGACTTGAGTAGACATTTCTCCAAAGATAAGGAAATTGCCAGGGTGCCTGGGCTGTCTCCGTCAGTTAAGCATCTGACTCTTGATTTCAGCTAGGGTCATGATCTCAAGGTTCATGGGTTCGAGCCCCACATCAGGCTCTGTGCTGAGAGAGCAGAGCCTGCGTGGGATTCTGTCTCTCCCTCTCTCTTTGCCCGTACCGTGCTCGTGTGCACTCTCTCTCTCTCCCTCAAATAAACTGGAAAAAAAAATTTTTTAAGAAAAGAAAGAAATTGCCAATAAGCACCTGGAAAGGTGTCGAGTGTCATTGGCCATCAGGGAAATGAAACTCGGATTCACAACAAAATACCACTTCATGCCCACCAAAATGGCTCTAGTGAAAAAACAGTAAATAACAAGTGTTGATGAGGATGTGGAGATTGGAGAGCTCTTACACATGGCTGGTGGCAACGTAAAATGGTGCGTCCACTGTGGAAAATAGCTTGGTGGTTCCTCAGAAAATTAAACGTTGAATTGCCCTATGACCCAGAAATCCCTCTCCTTGGGTGTATGTCCAAAAAAATGGAAAATGGCTGTCCCAGCAAAATCTTGTACATGAATATTCATGGCAGCACTATTCACAATATTCAAGAGTCGGAATGAAGTCAAATGTCCATGAGCTGAAGGATGGATAAGCTTGTGGTATATCCAGAGGGATGAAGTCCTGAAAATATGATGCTCAAGTGAAAGAAGCCAGACACAAAAGGCCACATACTGTATGATTCTGGGTGTTTTTTTTTAATGTTTATTTATTTTGAGAGAGAATGCGAGAGTGTGGGAGGGGCAGAGAGAGAGAGAGAGCAGGGTGGGACAGAGAGAGAATCCCAAGCAGGCTCTACACTGTCAGTACAGAACCCAACACAGGGCTCGATCCCACAAACCACGAGATCATGACCTG